AAGTCACGTTTAACCACCCAAGTCAACAAAATACACAAAATAGATAGCCCCAACATACAAGATGTACTTTGCGGTGTCTCCCAGCACAGACTCAAGATTCCAGGAGACGGGCGGTTAATTCTAGGAGCTGGACAAGGCTGTAGAAGGTCCTTAACCCATCAGCAGGATGGTATCTGCTCCTTTGTGGACGGAGGAACAGGATAAGAACTGCCAGAGCTACAAAATGACCTTCAGCAGTCTGCTGTTGTGAATGTCTCTACATGCATAAAGGACACGGGGTCCATACAGACTACAGAATACAATTTTCATTTGCAATGAAATTTCAGCAAAATGGATTAACCTGCTGTGTATTCTTTTCATTTCTATCAAACAATGTAGCGTCCTTTCAAATCTAACACATTGCCCAGTCCATATCAGTGTAGATATCCAGTGTTCCTTTGGATTTTTTGACCAGTGTACAATAAAATAATATTCAGGAAAATAATAAAAAACCAACATATAGTGTAAAAGGACATGATGGACACACAAAATTTAACTGTTTTTAAGATGAGATAATACCGGCTTTTATTTGGTTTTCACTTGGAGGGAAAAAAGCCCAAAAAATCACTCTTCCCATCAGCGCTGCTGATTTGTTTTGTGAAAGTCAGGAAAAATCAGCTGAAGCGCCAACATCCTTAATTATAAGTTTTGTGCATATGTGGATTAAAAAGTGCCTTTTTATTTGGCAAAACTAATTACCTTGTTTTGGTTTTTTTTTTTTTTAATTCCCACATCCCTGATTTGATATCAAATATTATTAAAAAAGATGAACCCAAAAGCGGAGAGGCGGGCTGTTAGAGATCATGCATGCAGATCTCTAACAGCAAGAGTCCAAAACAAAGAAAAAATAGAATCCAAAACTAAACTAGGAACGCTTGGAAGTAAACAGGTGGAGGACCACATGACACAACCACAAAAATGAGTATTGGATGCCTTTATACGGAGACACATAAGGGCTAACAAAAAACAGCTGAGAACGATCAGAAAAGGGCAAGGGTAGGAAGTAAAAGTGCACACAGTTTCTAAAGGAAGCAAACAGAAAAGAATACAAACATTTACCAAGTGCGACAAGAAAACATACTGAACATGTCTACACAAGAAGACAGGGGCGAGGAAACACTAAAAGACGAAGACAAACAGGGAACTAACTAAACAAAAACTCCGTAAAGACATCAGTAAATAAAGATAACACCTGAAGACTCAAACGACAAAGGTAGAAAAACAAGACACCATAAAGACTGAATAGGGAAGCTCAGAAAATAAACATGTCAAAACTTCTAAACACGAGGCACTAAATTAAAACTGCTCTACAAACAGTAAACTAGACACACAGAGAATCCAAACCTAAAAATAACCAAACAAAATGCAGGGACTACGGTCCCTGTGGAGATGATACACAAATCACAAACAATATGAACAAAACTGAAAACCTTTCATTTAAAAAAAGGAACAAAGTGTAAACCAGGAGCTCCCAAAATTGTAGCGCCAGTTAACAGCATTTTGTTTTAAGGTAAAATCTCTATAATATTGGAGAAAACCGAAACCGTTGCCGATCTTGCTCTGAGCTGCACAGTGGTGGAGTCTCAGGGAGGGGCAGCCATCTGGTGCGACTAGTTGGAAAGCGAGGGGAAGGTGCGAAGTTTAGCAGAGAGAGATGACAAACAGCACACAAAGGAAACATTTGGCCTGTTAGAGGCTTCATTAAACACACACCGGGAACACAAAGCTCCGGAAGCCGAAACATCTGCAGGAAGGAACAAGAACAAAGCAAGTGGGACTTCATGGGGGAAAAGACACAAGGTTAATGGTTTATCATCATTATGAAAATATGATGATAAACAATGACAGAGGGGAATAGGGGTGAGGTGCCCAGCACAAAATCACAGGAGGTCCTCCAGATTTGTAGTTTAAAGCCCAATCTGAAAAGTAGAGAGGGTACCTGCCTCCTGAACCTAAACTGGGAGTTTAGCTGATAGCTGAAGACTTCGTCTCCCGTTCCTCTTTTAGAAACTCTAGGAACCACAAGCAAGCCAGCGGTCTGAGAGAGAATTGCTCCATTGGGATAATATGATACTATGAGGTCTTTGAGATACGATCAGGTCTGATCCTTAAGAACTTGGTATGTGAGGAGGACTTTCATGTCAAATCTGGATTTAGCAGGCAGCCAATGATGATATGGAAGAAATGTGATCTCTTTCCTAGTCTCTGTTAGTGCTTTCACTGCAGGATTCTGGATAACAATACAATTACAATACAATACAATTTTATTCATATAGCCCATTTAAAAACCAGATATATGCCAAAGTGCTTCACAGAAACCAATTAAGAGCAATAATAAATACAAGTAAATAAAATAATAAAATGAAATAAATAAAAATAAAATATACTGACAGGTGGGAGACATAACTAACCAATGATACAGCAGGTAGGCACAAGCCAAAAGGCTGAAGGTTAAATCATAAAAACATTAATAAAAGCAAAAAAAGCTAAGTTACAGTACACTTAAAAATGCAGGGTCTAGGAGGCAGGGAAGGCAAGGCTAAATAAATATGTTTTTAATCGAGATTTAAAAAATCGAATTTAATCAGATGCGTTAGGTAGTTTAAATCTGATCTATCCGAAAGGTCCTTTTCTGTTACGATGGGTACCCACTCTTCCTCCATTGCCCCTGTTACCTCTGGTGTCCCCCAGGGATCTGTGCTAGGTTCTAATGCTGTTCTTTTTATACTTGTTACCCTTGGGCCGAATCTTTGCTAAATACAAATTTTTTTTTAAATTAACTGAAAAATTTCCCCGATAAGTTGGCAATGAACAATCTTCTCTAGGATTTTAGACAGAAACAGGAGTTTGGAAATAGGTCTAAAGTCAGCGAGATCTTTCTGATCGAGGCAGCTCTTTTTGAGTATAGTTTGCACTACAGCATGTTTAAAAGCAGCCGGAACACAGCCCAATAACAATGACAGGCTTATTAGTGATAAAATACGGGGCCCGATAATGTTAAACCCATCTTTAATAATGCGAGATGGGTGGAAGTCATGAACAGCGTTTGAGTGTTTTAGGTGATCAATTATACCCTTAAGAGTAGGGAGCGAAACTGGATGAAACTGATTGAGGTTAGTGGAGCATCGTAAAGCTGGGGCCTGACTCATCACAGGGGGGTGCAAGACTCTTAGAGATAAGATTCTGCCTGCAAAATGATTTAAACATTCTTCACAAAGAGCTAAGGAAGACTATCTAGGCATTTCAGGACAGGGATTAATCAATGAGTTAAAAGTTTTAAATAAAAAATGTGGATTGTGACTGTTATTTGTAATGACAGCCCACAGGAAAGCCACTTTAGCCAACTTAACAGATTTCTGAAATTCCGGCGGGTCCTGCGAAGGATATCAAAAAACACCTGGAGCTTATCTTTTTTTCCACCGTCTTTCAGCTTGGCTGCAAACGTGTCATAGAGCACGTAAAGAGTCATTTAACCATGGCTGAGAGCAACTTCCAAGCCATTTTACCTTTATAGGGGCCACAACTTCAAGTAAAGAGGAGCATGTATTCATTTAAACAGTAATGTATTGTGAAGGTTCAGACAGACTTAGTGGATTTTTAGTTAAAGCTAAATACAGCAGATAATACTGAAAGTTTCTGGTGTCCCGTGCGACACCTATTTTGTGTCATCTTTGCACTGAAAGTTAGTTTAAGGCCTTGGTGTTCACTTTCAGGGCTCGTCATAGTAGATCTAAGGAGCTTGGAAAGAAGGTGACTGGACTTAGAACTGAGGAAGCTTCTTGGATGAGAGGTGAAACTTCAGGAAACTTAAAGAAGTCCACTAACCTTCTTTCCTTAGACTACCATGACCTGGATGACTGAGAACCGGTACACACATTCTTGTGTTTTAATATTTGTCTTTTTATTTGTTATTTGCTGTTGGGAAGTACTTTGAAATCCCCAAAAAGGTTCTATATAATATATATATGCTAAATATATGTGTCTAAACGTTTGCATAACTATAAATTGTGAATGTGAACATATACACAGCATTTTGATATGAGTTCAGCATTTGCAGTAAATTGAAAAACAACACCTTTGTGCTTTAGGGTTAAAAAAAAAAACCTGCTAATCTTTTCCACATAGTTTTGGAAACTGCCCACATTCAATCAAATTGCCAAGCCAAGTCCAAATCAGTTTTTATGACTACCACAAGAAAAGTCCCACGCATATCTTGCAGAGTGCAGTAGATATTTGGCGTCATCAGTATTGTTTAAACAAATGTTTAAAGTGGTGTTATGTTACTGTGTTGCAGAAAGCATTGAATAAAGGGGCAAAATGACCTTATGGTTGAACGTGTTGAGCATACACATCAGTGCTTGAAGAGAACAAGAAACAGTGCTAAATTACTAACTATGCACTGAATATTATGCACCACTTAAACTTTGGTTTCTGAATTAAATATGTTTTTCTTCATTCTGTACAGAAAAGACCAGTTAAACCACATTATGCTCACATTTTTCACCTTTGCATTGATCACAGTTCACACAGACAGGATCTGGGACAGAGTATCGTAAGGAAACTGCAGAAATGTGCTCTCTGCACACGTGTTTCGAGTTTATTCAGGCAGTAAAACAGATTCCTGGAGGTTCTTTCTGTGTAACTGTGTTTCTAGGTAAGGCAAAAGCAAATAGCTTGTTCCGTGAGCGTCGTGGCACTGAACTCTCCAGCTGCTGCTTTCTCTTAAAGAGCAATAAAATGACTTCCAGGAAACTGCTGATACTCGCCTTGTGGCTGCGCTCCTCAGTGGAGTTAGATTACCATTATTAGCTTGTCACTGAAGTGTATCTTTGCAATCCTCAAAAGCAACAAGATTTTATAACACTTGCAACAAGGAAAAGAAAACAGAAGTAGATATTTGCTGTATTAAAGATAATTATGCGTAATCTTCCCCTCTGTTCCTCTCTCCCTGTTTCCTTCAGTTCTCTCTGACAGACGTCCACACCTCACTGGCTGTTCTTCCCCAGACATGATGACTTTCCATTGCAGATGGAATGTTGGCCCTTTCCAGAATCTCTCTGACCCCAGAGCTCTCCGCTTATTCTACTTTATAAATGTGTAAGAAGAAAATATCTCTCATCACTACCAGAGTGCTTTTTTGGGAAACATTAGGAAGGGGAAAAAAGAAGAAAAACATGGGTCATAGGTGCCTGTTTTGTACAGGCATTCGCACATCTGCAGATTCTTAAGCACAGCTTTAAAGAGTTTCTACACATATATAGTGTGAGGAAAACGCCAGTTGTTTGCAGCCTTTGAAATGATTTTAAAGTATTAGAATAGAAGTATTTTTAGCCTGTTAAGTGAGCAAAAACACAGTAGAAACACTTTATGTGTAGATAAACCATCATTTAGCTGCTTAGGTCAATCAGGGCCACTGGGTTTATACCTCCAATGTGTAAAATTTAAACTTATGGTGCAGACATTCACTCTGTTGACAAAGCAAAGTCCAGCTTATATTGTAACGTTTAACACGCCTAACTTCGGGCAGTTTACGCTTTATTGCCTTAAATACTCTTTTTAAGTACACACGTTTTCACACAGGCAAAGTAAATGTTCTAATTGTCAGCAAATGCAATAAAAAGATAAAAGAGGAATAATGAAAATCCCAGTTCCAATCCATCTCCAGACTGTCACCAGGCCGACCTGCACTACCTTCATGACCCATGAATCCTTTGGCTGTATTTTATGTGTTATCAGCTGTTGCTTGATTGTGAAACTAGGAAAAAATAGATAAATTGCTTTAATTTTACATACATGTCATACTTGATGAGTTCATATAATACAGTTGTTTATTCCTCAAAACTCAAACAGAATATTTAAAAGATTAGTTAATCATACTGCCTCTTTTCATTATTATCTATAATTCCCCTCAGAACAAAATGCCATTTATTAGCAGGATAGGTCATAATCTTATCTGCAGATTACCATGAAATCGCATTTCATGCATACATGGGAACAACCCTTTGTTTGTGACCTTGCACTGCTCATGGATTTCTTAACTGACTAATGCGCTGATCCTGTCCCCCACCATTCAGACCCCCTCATCTGTCTTCTAAAAATTGGAGTGAATGTCCTCACTACAGCAACGAGACGCCAAACGAGTGTTTTTTCGATCAGAACCACACCTCGATCTGGACATATTACAACGTCCAGCTCCGCTCCAGGGATGAGACCATCCTCTATGATGAGAAGGGTTTCTTTGTTAATGACATTGGTGAGTTCACTGCCTCTTTACACACACTGAAACTGAATTTGAAATTGAACACTGAATACAGTTGTAAAGTTTTCGCATGTTACACTGTCACCAATTTTAACTGTCACAGCATCACAAGTACGCGAGGTGGTTATATGACATTTTCAGGGGTGAACAATACTTTTGATCTTTGTTACAAAATTTTGTTTCTGTTTGATCTTTTTCTTATAATTCGCTAGAGAAAACTTCAAAAGGGGAATTTTTGGTTAACATAAAGGGTTATGGCCCAAGTTCAGGTCATCCCTCCTATGATTGCCTGTGCAATTATGGATAATATCTCCAATGAGTCTTAGCATTTGCATATTTTTCAGGCTTCATAGGAGCTGCAGAACAGGTTTAACAGAGCTACAGTGGTTTCTAGTGTCCTGCAGAATTGATTATAAAATGCTCTTGCTTGTATATGAGACTCGCCTACATGGTCAGGGCCTTGCTACATTTCTGATAATCTGTCACTTTACGTTATCCTCGACTCCTAAATTGTTACACATCCAGTATTCCTCAAATAGAAAAACTGGGGATGCAGTTTTTCACCCGTCAGCCTGAAAGGTTTGGTTTATTGTCGTCACCCCGCCAGGCGGCATATCTCTCACCTCTTCTCTCTTTGTGTCTGCTTTAAAGGTTTATTTATGAAGGACTTATCTGTATTGATGTTTGCAAAGGCCAATAAATGGAACATTTAAAAAATAGAGCAGAGACATATCTTCCAGCTTTTCCTCTAACGCCTCGTGCAGCTCAAAGTTTTTCACTTACTGTTGTGAAAACGCTTAGTTAGGATCTTTATAGAGCACAGAGCACACATGACTTTCATCTACTGATAGTTTCATAACATTTTTTCTCCCCCCCCCCCTTTTTTTTTTATTGTTTAGTCTAAGCCTATTTTTCATAGAAATATCTACAACAATGTGCTTACAACTTTGTGCCAACTGTTTGGGAAAAACTTTTCCTGTTTCAACATGATTAAATCTGAACATTGACGGCGAGCCAAGCCATCAGTGGCTGACTTCACTAATTCTCTCGGGCCGAATGTGGCTAAAGGCTTGATGTCAGGTTTTGAAATCTTGCTTCAGGATGACTTGCAGCCAAATTCCAAGAAGAGGCGAATACAGCAGTGCATGTATTCCATTTGCTTTGTAAAAACAAGTTCAGCAATCATTTGCAATGTCCTGGTCTTTGCTTGCTTTCATGTAGGCAGTGAAAGAGACAGTTGAGGACAGTGATGTAAGGATCCGTCTGTTATTACTCAACAAATTAATTAGTTCAGTCCAGTGGAAGACTTCCTGACACCAGCCCCCTTACTGATGAAAAAGTGCTCTAAAGTGACCTTCTGTTCCGCAGTGCAACCGGATCCTCCTGTCAGCCTGAACTGGATGCTGCTGAATGTGAGTTTGACTGGCATCCACTATGACATACTGTTGAGCTGGAAGCCTCCTCCATCTTCAGGTGTGGAGACAGGGTGGATGAAGCTGCAGTATGAAGTTCAGCACCGTGACAACAGCTCCAGTGTATGGGAAATGGTGGGTGTGTCATGAATCTAATACACAGCTCAAAAAAATTAAAGTAGCACTTCAAACTTCTGGGGTATTTATCTGGTCAGTTACATAGCAGAAGGGTTGTTAATCAGTTTCAGGTGCTTTGGTGTTATTAAAATTAACAACAGATGCACTAGAGGGGCAACAATGAGACAACCCCAATAACAGGAATTGTTTTACTGGTGGAGGCTGCTAACATTTTTACCTCCTATTTTTTTGGTTTTTGGTTTTTTTGCTTGCAATTGTGGGGTTTTTTTGCATTTGGCTAGGGTCAGTGTCACTATTGTTAGCATGCGGCAATACCAGGACCCTAAAGAGGTTGCACAAGTAGTCCAACCCAGCCCAGGGGGCATCCTTATCAGATGCCCGAACCACCTCAGCTGGCTCCTTTCAATGTGGAGCAGCAGCTGCTCTACTCTGAGCCCCTCCCGGATGGCCGAACTTCTCACCCTATCTCTAAGGGAGAGGCCAGCCACCCTTCGGAGGAAGCTCATTTCTGCCGCTTGTATCCGCGATCTCGTTCTTTCGGTCACTACCCACAGCTCGTGGCCATAGGTGAGGGTAGGGACGTAGATCGACCGGTAAATTGAGAGCTTCGCTTTTACACTCAGCTCCCTCTTCACCACGACGGACCGGTGCAGCGTCCGCATTACTGCAGCTGCAGCCCCAATCCGTCTGTCGATCTCCGGCTCCCTTCTCCCATCACTCGCGAACAAGACCCCGAGATACTTGAACTCCTCCACTTGGGGCAGGAACTCATCCCCGACCCGGAGTGGGCACTCCACCCTTTTCCGGCTGAGAACCATGGCCTCAGATTTGGAGGTGCTGATCCTCATTCCCGCTGCTTCACACTCGGCTGCGAACCGTTCCAGTGCGAGCTGGAGGCCCTCACCCGATGAAGCCAACAGAACCACATCATCCGCAAAAATCAGAGATGAGATTCTGAGGCCACCAAAGCGAAAGCCCTCCGCCACTTGGCTGCGCCTAGAAATCCTGTCCATAAAAATTATGAACAGAACCGGAGACAAAGGGCAGCCCTGGCGGAGCCCATCACCCACCGGGAACGAGTCCGACTTATTGCCGGCAATGCGAACCAAGCTCTTGCAACGGTTGTATAGGGATCGAATGGCCCGTAGCAATGGGCCAGACACCCCATATTCCCGCAACACCTCCCACAGGACACCCCGAGGGACACGGTCGAATGCCTTCTCCAAGTCCACAAAACACATGTAGACTGGTTGGGCAAACTCCCATGCACCCTCAAGTATCCTGGAGAGGATAAAGAGCTGGTCCAGTGTTCCGCGACCAGGACGAAAACCGCATTGTTCCTCCTGTATCCGAGGTTCGACTAACGGACGAACTCTCCTTTCCAGCACCCTGGCATAGACTTTCCCAGGGAGGCTGAGGAGTGTGATCCCCCTGTAGTTGGAACACACCCTCCGGTCCCCTTTCTTAAAGATGGGGACCACCACCCCGGTCTGCCAGTCCACAGGTACTGCCCCTGATCTCCACGCAACATTGCAGAGGCGTGTCAACCAGGACAGCCCTACAACGTCCAGAGCCTTCAGGAACTCGGGGCGGACCTCATCAACACCAGGGGCTCTGCCACCAAGGAGTTGTTTAACTGCCTCAGTGACCTCGCCCCCGGAAATTGGCGGGTCATTCCCCTCATCCCCAGACTCTGCTTCCTCCTCGGAAGACGTGTCAGTGGGATTAAGGAGGTCCTCGAAGTATTCCTTCCACCGCCTGACAATTTTCTCAGTCGACGTCAGCAGCGCTCCGCCAGCACTATACACAGTGCAGGTAGAGCACCGCTTTCCCCTCCTGAGACGTCTGACGGTTTGCCAGAATCTCTTCGAGGCAGTCCGAAAGTCTTTTTCCATGGCCTCTCCGAACTCCTCCCACACCCGAGTTTTTGCTTCAGCCACTGCCCGAGCCGCATTCCGCTTGGCCTGTCGATACCTGTCGGCTGCCTCCGGAGTCCCACAGGCTAACCAAGCCCGATAGGACTCCTTCTTCAGCCTGGTGGCTCCCTTCACCTCTGGTGTCCACCATTTGGTTCGGGGATTACCACCACGGCAGGCACCAACCACCTTGCGGCCGCAGCTCAATGCAGCAGCTTCGGCAATGGAGACGCTGAACATGGTCCATTCGGACTCAATGTCCCCAGTCTCCCTCGGAATGCTGTTGAAGCTCTGCCGGAGGTGTGCGTTGAAGATCTCGCGGACTGGGGCCTCTGCTAGACGTTCCCAGCACACCCTCACTACGCGTTTAGGTGCACCAGGTCTGTCCAGCGTCCTCCCCCGCCACCTGATCCAACTCACCACCAGGTGGTGATCAGTTGACAGCTCAGCCCCTCTCTTTACCCGAGTGTCCAGAACATATGGTCGCAGGTCTGCTGATACGATTACAAAATCGATCATCGACCTACGGCCTAGAGCGTCCTGGTGCCACGTGCACTTATGGACACTCTTAATTCACCCTGAAATTCGCCTGACCTAAATCCAATAGTTATGTTTTGGTCAATCTGACACTGTCAGGTTGCATCTTCGAGCTCAGTGACTCCCAGATATGGGATAAGATCCCCCAGGACACCATCCATCATCTCGTTATGATGATGGTGTCAGTCATGCATACAACCACATGGAGGCCATACAAACTACCTGGTATCATTTTGAGTTGCTGCAGTTGAATTTTGGCAAAATGGACTTGCCTGCTTTGATTTTGATGTGTCTTTGAATTCGGCCCTCTGTAGGTTGATCATTTTCATTTCCATCAAATTATGTGGCATCCTTTCATTCCTAGCACCTTATCCCGGTACATATCAGTACAGATATCCAGCATGATTTGTTTTGGGGGTTGTTTTTAACTCATCGAGCTCTGATGCATTTTCAAAAAGTTTTTGGGGAGCATGCACACTGGCTGATTTTGGTAAAAATCTTTTTATTGTTGTGAAAGGAAACCTAAATGTCAGACTTTGAAACCTTATTTTTTCACCACAGGTTGACCCTGTTTTGAGTACAAGGTGCTCCCTTTACGGGCTTCAAACTAACATCAATCATGAGATCCGGGTTCGGTGCAAAATGCTCGGTGGGAAAGAGTTTGGAGAATTCAGCAAATCTGTCTTCATTCACATCCCATCGAAAGGTAAACTCACTGTTTGACTCAGTGTTTGAACCGGGTGTAAACAGTGTTGTAAAGACTTTTCAGTTTTAGATCATCTTATATTTGTCATGAATTAACATTTGAGTACTATTTCACGTTTTATGTGAAGTTTAATGTGATTTTTTGTGTGTGTGTGTGTGTGTGTCCATTGTTTTCATCAGTTTCAAGATTCCCCGTGGTGGCTTTGCTCATCTTTGGTGCCTTGTGTTTAGTGGGAATCCTGATGTTGGTTATCATATCACAGCAAGAAAAGTAAGCATTTTAGATTTATTAGGCTTTTATGCTAAGCTGAAACGGTTTTGGCTGCTTAACTTTGAAAATCTACCACAGGCTCAGACGTCAATTGTGTTTACTGTTTTCTAATTTCTTCCATGCACTGTGTGGAATTTAGTATTCTTTTTTTATTTATTCCCCAAGGTGGATGGTTATCCTTTTGCCTCCTGTTCCTGGACCCAAAATTAAAGGAATTGACTCTGAACTTCTCAAGGTGCTTATCCAAAGTTGTGACACTTAAAATAGCTTGATTATCTTAATTACAAAACTACATATGAATATATATATATGAATATATACATATATATACATACACGTATATATGAATATATACATATATATATATATACATACACGTTATATATATATATTATATATATATATATGATAATATGTATATATATATATATTTATATATATATATTTATATATATATATATATATATTATATTTATATATTATATATATTATATATATATATATATATATATAATATACATACATACATATATATATTCGAATGACTCTACACTAGAGTACAGGTTAAAAACAAGACTTAAATTGCAATGATGGCCTGTAAGTGCATTGGTATATTTTCTTTCTCACAGAGTGGGAAGCTTAGGGAATTGACATCAATCCTGGGTGGTCCTCCTGATTTGAGGCCGGAGCTCTACAACTCCGACCCCTGGATGGAATTTATCGATCTGGACATTGAAGAGCAAAGCGACAGAGTGACAGAACTGGACACTGACTGTCTCATGAACCACCACCTGACTTCTAACTGCTCCCCACTATCACTTGTCTTCAGAGATGACGATTCAGGTCACGCAAGCTGCTGCGATCCAGATCTCCCATGCGACCGAGAACCATCACCTTTCCTTCCTCTGTTCCCAAATCTTGCCCTCAGTCAGGAGACATTATGTGCAGCAACCTCCGAGCCAAGCTCTCCCATCCAAAGCTGCAACTCTGGGGAGCTTCCTTCATTCGTCACGGACAGAGACACTTTGTACACCCAGGTGAGTGAGGTGAGGTCATCGGGCAAGGTGTTGCTCTTACCTGAGGAACAGACAGAGGGGGAGAAAATGCCTAGTAAAGAGAAGGAGGACGAAATTGTGGTAGAGAAAGAGAAGAAAGAGTTTCAGCTCCTCGTGATGAATGCAGATCACAGAGACTACACTTCAGAGCTCAATGCAGGAAAAACAAGCCCAGAATTATCCACAGGGGACCTGACTGAACCCTGTAAAACATTTCCGTCACCTCCCTATGAATCAAACACCACCTCGCCCCCACCAATCCCTGCTCCTGTCTACACTGTGGTCGAAGGTGTTGATAGACAGAACAGTCTCTTACTGTCACCAAATTCAGCTCCAGCCCCACATCTGATAATTCCAAAGAACATGCCGACACCAGACGGCTACCTGACCGCTAACCTTCTGGGAAGTATCACACCGTAATTCAGTGTCGAAGTGTGCAAATTAAAAATCTGGAGGTTGAATGTTGACTGCATCCTTTGGCAGAGTTTTGTAAAGGAACTGAATAAAAAGGTGTTTTACTCTGATTGTGGAAAAGGGAAGCATTAAAAGGGAACGCTCGAGCTGAAAACTGCTGCAGTCGAAAACCAGGTCTGCAACAACTTAACTAACCACCTTTGTTAAAGCTGTATTAACCAGTAAAAAAGTAAATATTGATTGCTTATGAAGTGCACCATCCAGTATACATGTATTTATTTTATTTGCATTTATAAGATTTAGTAAAAAAAATTATTTCCTTTCATCCCTGGTGGTCCTCTTTGTTTAAATCTTTGCTAATGTTTTGTCATTTGGTGCTGTAAGCCAAACAAGGACAAAAATGGATTGCAGGTGCACAATTCCCTGCAATATTTTAACGAGCAACACCTTCTATGCTACAGATTCACATTTTAATCAGTATTAATGTTAAAGGCACCACGTCCTTGTGCATATTGTACATATGAAAAGACAATATTTGAAAAGAAACAAATAAATAACCTTCTTTTTGATTTTTTTTTTTTTTAATGACATTTTTTTATCTGTCAGATCAACTTTGCCTCAATGCAAACTCAATGCATTCAGTTCTGTGCTTTTCAAAATGCTCAGTGTATGTCAATATATTGATTCCTAAAAAAGAATAATAAAGCATGATTTATGTGTGACAGGATAAACAGGAGCTCAATGTAAGATGCTAATTTAATATTAATATTATCACATATTGTGTTCTTGAAAACTGTGAAAAGTTTTGAGAGCTAAAGCCAAAACGATATGAACTGAAATTATTTTGCTTAGTGAGTATTTGTGTTTATAGTGCATTGATTCTTTTGCTGTTTTTTTTTTTTTTTGTTTGTTTTTTTGTTTTTTATTTCTGGTTGGCTTATATGCATTTGATGCAATGTAAAAGCTAAAGGTATATGAACAGTGTTAATTTGTATGGTTATTGCAATAATCTAAAAATATTGTCAAATAAATGAAATAAAAAATCAGATTTTGACTTTATGTGTCTTAATGAACTAAAATGTGTTTTGTTTTTCTGCGTTATTTATGTAAAAACCAGTGACTCTACAGCCATTGGTAAAAACCCACAATCTACTAAGTATCTTGATTTTTGGGTTACTTCTGAGTAAGTCAAAATCATAAATTATCAAAAAAAATTCTAAATTGGGGACAAGTCACAATATATATTTTTTTAATTACAATAATAAAAAAAAATAGAACATGGTAACAACTGTCACCATATACATTTTCTTTCTCTTAAAGGTAATGATTTATGTGAAATTTATATAAACTGCAGATTTTTATTTATTTATTTTACTAAATATTAAATCATCATAGCACTGCAGAGAAACCGCTTCACTGCTAGTAAGCTAGCTGTATGCCCAAACGAGCTGGGGTCTTTGTTAGCGTCATGTTAACATCACTTATGAGGAAGATAATAAAGACAATACTATACTGACTTGCTCTCGGGCTTAAAATATGACAAAGTTAAACTGCGTTAATCTTGAGAAATTTCTGGAGGAGTTTTGTCAACTAGAACAGGTAAAGTAATTTACATTGCCCTATTAGCCAGCTAACTTGCTAATAGGCTAACTTCATCTGCTATTTACTTTCTCATTTTTTTACTTTTTGCCTCTTTGTTAGACTAGGAGTTTATCTATGAACTTTTACAGGAAGGCTTTCAAATGTTTATATTAATGTCAGCTATCTTTTTTTCTTGTGTTGTTTTTTTTATTGCTCTTAGTAACTTAAACATAAGAAGGAAACCTAGTAAGTAAAAGAGGGATTAGACTGTAAATAAACTTAATCCTAATGAACATACATCATACATTTGTAATAAATGTGGATTTTACTTTATAATAAACCTGAGACTGTTTGTGTTTTATTATATATGTGCATATGTGTCTTTATGGAATAAAGTATTTTCTCTGGATCTTTATTAAACAGAACATAACTGAAGTTAATGGCAGAAACAGCATGTTGGAGATCATGTTGGAGGATGCTAATAGACTGGTGAAGTTTTACCAGACCAAGGAGAAGAGCCTAATTGAGGGTGAGTGTTAAAACTCAAAACCTATCATTCAGTTTAATAACATCTCCCTCTGCTGGTGGTTTTGCATTCATTGGGCCCTACTGGAGTAGTGCTGTATGATTCATATATAAAAATAATCGTTAAAAATAATCGTTATTCAGCTTATACTGGCCTTGGTGAAGGCTCTGGGTTCATCCTCTTTATGAAGTGAGATGTTATAACTTGTTGATCTCATTATTTGACATTTTAGCCACATTTCATATCAGTATCCAGCATTGTAACTCCACATATGTCATAGAAAAATACCATCTGGCGGATATTAATAACAAGCCGGATTTGGTAGCGATTCACTTTACAGAAGAAAAACATTTTAAATATTTGGGGATTTTTTTCTGTAAATTATTAAATTAATTTCTGTTTTATATATGTATTTGGAGCATGAAAGTAGACTTTGTTTCTGAACCTCTTTCAGAAAAAGATAGCCTTCTTCTCACAGTGAACAAACTGCAGCAGACTCTGCAGGAGCAGTGCAACCTCAGAGGTATCTCTAATAACATATCAAACACACATAAACATATATACAGCAAAAAAAGGTACCCTATGTCAGCTCTAACGTTTTACATATCAGGACATAATAATATAATAGTTCTTAGCAGGTCTTAAAATGAGACATATTAGTGACATATTATATTGTTTTGTTATTTATTTAAGAACTAAACCAGAATGCAGAAATGTTGTGTTAAAGACTAAGTGCACCCTGTGCAGTTTGTAGAACAAGTTTTAGTAGCAAGAACTTGAAGTAATTGTTTTCTTCTAGGATTACTGCCTTGTTTCAGTATCCAGTTTTGGATAAACTTTAGCTATTGCAGAGATGGCTGCACATTTGATCCTGTATGCTGGAGAGGAAGCCCAAATCATCAACCCTGAGGTGTTTCTATTGAGATGCTGTGTTTAGTTCTCTCCAAATGTGACACTGCACATCATGGCCAGACATCTTCACTTTGGTCTTGGCTGTCCAAAAACCAGTGTTCAAGAAATCATGTGGGTTGTTCTGGTAACCCTTCCTAACAAGCCATACTCGTTCAGTCTTTTTCTGATTGTATGTCACGAACTTTAACATTTGAAATGTGAAAATAAGGCTTGTCTGGGTTGTTTGCGGTTTCTCTGAGCATTACATGGTCTGATTTGTGGGGGAATTTGCTGCGATGTGCACTAAATAAGGACTAAATAATTTTTATTATGTCTTGATATGTAAAACCTTTATATTTTTATATATTTTTGATAGGGTGATAATCAACTGAAAATGACTCCATATCATCTTTTTCATGTTTCAGTGAAGAATGAGAGACTCAAGAATGATATGGCAGATCTGAAACAGCAGAATGAGAGAACAGCAGAGGTACGAACAGAAGTAGGAGCAAGCAACAGGTGTTTCCTGTAATCACTCTGGCTCCTTAGACCTAAACTGTTAGGCTACAAAGCAAAACTAAAGGGTTTATCAGGTACATAGAGTGTTTCTACCTAGCTAAATCTCCATAATAACATATGCTGAACACATATCCAGAGTAGGTTTTCAGGTTATGAAAACGAGTTTGGTTTAAAGACCATTGTAAGTTGACACTTTTTGTATGCCACAGATGGTCTTACCACCAATATGCTCTCTGTGTTTGATTTTTCTTTTCAAAGTTTTGAAAATACAAATTTAACAAGCAGATCATGTCTTGTTGGGCCGAATCTTTCTTTATCTTGTTTATGTGGTGGTGCTCATGTGTTTCATAAGCAGTCTAGGCTCAGTACTTTCAATACTTTATATAAATTTGGTGGTGCTAGAAACACGAAGACCGACATTAGTGACGTCTGAGCACCTCAGCATACAGGACTGAGCACGTCTGAGAACCTGTTCAGCTGTTTATGATGAGTGAAGGAACTTAACCCTCTCAGGCTCAAATTAAACTTTTTGTTGCTAATCCACAACCAAGTCCTGCAGTGGTACTTCTGAGTAAAAAAAACTCATAAAATATGTACGGTATGTGGGTTAATCCGGTTGTTAGTTCTTAACTGTTGCAAATCGGCAACGCCTGCCTTGAGAGGGTTAAACTGATGAACATCTATCATAGAAATGATACAAAGCTTTTCCTAGAGTTGGTCAAGTGAGAAACACAGAATTATACCTGCACATTTTACTTTCTCCTTTGGTTTTTTTGATCATGTAATGTGGCAGTCTTGTTCAGTCTTGCTGTTGGATGTAGTTGATGCTGCCTCTATGCAAGACACCTTGAGGCAGGAAGGTGCCTTTTCCTGAATTATATCCAGTATAGATGTTACAATATGATGTTGACATGTTTGGCTGTCAATCTGTTGTGTTTGGCTAAGCAGAAGTTTGCTGCGGTGTTGTATTCGTTGGGATTGCACCATGTTATCTAAAAGACATAAATCAATTTCTCTTTTTTGTCGTGAACAGCAATGCAGCAGGGTGCCAGAAATTTGCAATAGAGCGTTCGGCAGATGATGCAGAACGCACATAAATGTGTTTTCACAGAGGCTTTGGGTTTGTTTCAGATTTAAACGTTGCTTTGTACAAGTGTTTTAATAATTACTTTTCTTAGAGCCAAGTAGTGTAAAGAAATTTCCCATTTAGTGCAACATAATGCTTCAGGTCTTGTGCTGTTGTAGCTAATAGCAGACAGGTTAGAGAATGATCAGCCTATTTTGTCACAGAATATTTAATAATGAAATTACTTTTTACTTCTTAATGCGTAGCATATGATGTTAAAAATATCATGATTAAAGTTTAAGAGGTGTAAAGTGAAGCTGTCACTGAGAGTGCACAGAGAGGTAAAATATAATAATAATAATCAAATTGTACAAGATTATGAGTTTTCTTTCTGCATTATTTGGATCACCAGTGTTTCATTTTGCTGCAACAACTTTTAAAATATTCTTTACATCTCTTCGGAGCCATGGGCTTTCTTTGCCTTCAACAACAGCGTTTATTGATGCTGTTGTTAGAGGCAAAGAAAGCCTGGGCAGGTCACACATGCTTTGTAGTGCACTCTTTTGCCAAGTATGAAACAAGTGAAGCTATGCTTGGATTTACCCAAATTTATAACTTTAATGATTAATTGTAATAATAACAATAATAAATCATGATAAGTGTGTCAATGTTATCTAAATACAAAAATATGCCTGCAAGTGACAGAGCTGTCGATCAAACTCGGTTTCAGTATGTTGAGATGAAATCTTTAGAAGTGAAAACATCTGAGGGGTATGAGCCTGTCGGAGCCTGTGCTAAAACTTTGCGCAGCAGTAATTTCAGCCTTTGTATGCTGTTATCAGGTTGGAAAAGCTGAAGTTCAGCGGCTGGTCAGAGAAATGAGAGCAGAAGAAGGGAGACACAAGAGGGCGCTAGAGGATCTAAGACAGCAGTGTGGCAGGGAGGCGGAGGATGCCCACAGGGAGTATTTTAGTCAGTGTAAGGCCTCACAGAGTGCTCAGTGCACTGAGACACTGGTTCATGTCCAATGAACCCATTGCACCCTGACATGCTACAACAAATGTATGAGAACAAGTAGGATGGAAGAGCTCCAAACACTGTCTGATAAATGGGATACCTAAATCGCATTGCCTGCAGACACACCAACACAAAAAAAGCATTGTCAGCTTGCAAAATCCTTTCATAGTCTATCTTTTTATGATGTGCATTTAGACATTTCAGTGCAGCTTTAATAAAGTCTGCAGAAGGTTTGCTTCTCCCTCTTATTTAGCTACATGCTTGCTACTCTGATCAGGAAGCTCTGCAGAAACTGTTAAAGGCATCAAACAACTTACAGTTTGCTCAGATTTGCAGGAAATCTTTAGTTTTGTTGATTCTAAAAAATGTTTTTGTGAACACGTGCACTCGTTTTGTTGATTGATTGCTTTTTATGGCTGTAGACAGAGTGAGACAAAGCATCAAGCAAATTATCTCACAATTTGACAGCCTTGAGCTCTTATATGCATAATGGGAGCACACTCCATTGAGTGCATGAGGGGGTTGTAAGACTCAGAATAAGTGAGAGTGGTGATGTTATGTAATGTTTCAGGGAATACTGACACATTATTTATATAATTTATGGTCCTTGAGTCCTATTGCACAACACGGACAGCTAACAACAGATCTGTTGAAGTTTCCTTACTTTACATCAGTTTTTTACTGACAAAATCAGAGAAATCTGCCTGTGGTTTGTTTTATTCAGTGGAAGCTAAAGATGCTGAATGTAAGAAGCTGCTGGAGAAAAAGGATCTGGATCTAGAGGACATGAAGAAGAGACTAAAAGATCAGGAAAAGGAGAGTCAGAACGAGCTACTCAAGTTACAGATGGAGGTAAAATAACATAATTGAAATTGTAACCATCATACTTAATTTGATTAACATAGATCTACATAAATATCTGTCATTGCTTTTAATATATTTATGATGTTTAATAATCAGGTTTAAATTGTGTGTGATTTTAATGAATAATATTAAGAACACAGGCAGGAGCAGGAGTCTAAATCTTTGAAATAAGAATAAACTCTGCTTTGGTTTTGAGTGTCTAGTTTCAGTTACAAGCTCATTGTTTTGCTCTGTGTTTTTGGCAGTTTGGTGCAAAGTTAGCCAGAGTTCAGAGTTCAGCTCAGTGGAGCCAACAGCAGCAGCAGCAACATGGCCCAAACCTTCCTCAGAGTGTCTTTAAAAGGGTAAGCAGCCCACACAGAACCTGTTACACCCCCTTGTTTAAACTGTTGTCAATCTGTAACTGAGTGTTTTGGTGTGATTTACCGTATTCCAAAAGCACAGGTGAGTAAACACCATGTGTGTAACTGTTACTGATGTACTGATGTATCCTTCTCATAGAAACTACAACTAAGAGTAGAGCAAAGTCCATTAAGTCTTAACTAGAAATCTTATCTTGTTAGTCTACACGTTTTAAGTCATCAGGCTGCTTCCCGGTATGCTGTGTAAGCTTTATCAGCCTTTGTAATGCTTTAACAGACATAAATTCCCACTTAAATGGTAGGCTGACTGCCTGTATACGTTGCTTTTCTAGTCTTATTTGACCACTCAGCTTTCAACATGGGCATGTCTTTACCCCGAAAGTGTCAGCTGGATCATTTTTGAAGCATAAATTAAACTCCAAGAAGTGAAATGGCAACTTTAGGTTCATTGCTATAAATGAACTGCACCACAGTTAATCTTGATGCTGACTGTCACAAACACCTCCTTCAGGTTAACACTAGCTGTCCACTTTATTAGGTATACCAGTTTGGTATGAGCAATACTCATCACACCAGGCATTTTTCCAATCTTCCATTGCTCAGTTTTGGGGAGCCCCTGTGAACTGTAGCCACAGGTTCCTGTTCTTAGATGGCAGCGGTGTCACCTTGTGTCACCGTCCTCCATCTACATTCAGAGATGCGCTTCTGCCTTGGTTGAATACAGAAAATGCACACTAGATATAACCATCCAATATTCAAATTCACTTAAATGACCTTTCTGAGTCATTCTGGTGCTTGGTTTGAACTTAAGGAAGTCATCTTGACTGTGTGTACATTGCTAAAATGCACCGAGGTGCTCCCATGTGTTTGGCATGTCAGATATGTGCAATAACCAGTAGATGTACTCTGTAAACTAGTCAGTGAGTGTACTTAGCCACTTAGCAAAAACATTCCTTCAAGTGGGGTAGTTGGTTGCTCATTTTATATTACAGAAAAAATGTCTAATACTTGGGTTATTTTTAGTATCTCATAAATCCCAGACAGGGTTTTGTGTGTTTTATTGAAAACTGCTAACCAAAATTTTCATTATTATGATTTCAAAATTTATTTCATTCAGTTATGTGTTTTCTTACATTTTGGGCTTTAAATGATTGAATAAGAAAATAATTTCAAAAGGAATGAAATCATGAACAGCAATGAAAATATCACTGAGTGGCTTCAGCAGCCACTCAGTGCAAAGCACATGGCAGACTAGATTTTTCATTTAAACTCGTTTACCTGGCATTAATCTGAAGAATAGAAGCTAGTATTTACAGGGAGTGTTTTATAGGTCAGCAGTGATTTTGTGTTTTCAGAAGTGTGTTGTATGTCTTTTTATGTTTTTCTCAGAAGCTGCAGTTTTTCCAGGAGGAAAAGAACAAAGAGATTTTTGCCCTGCGTCAGAGAATCAAAGAGCTGGAAGAGAATCAGCGTGCCAGCAGCATCCTGGACAGCCGTCCAAAGAGAAGAAAGATTTAATTTGTTTAGAGGCTAACGAGCTGCTGACCTGCCAGTGGACGTGCATGATTCCCATAGAGCATTCTGAAATTTCCAATCTTACATATTCAACAGGACATTTACTTGGTGCTTGTGCAGTGTGACTAGATTTGACTGCAAATCCAGTGCTCTTCTTGCAGGTGACCAGTGTAAAGAAAGTACAAACACATGCTGTATTCCTGTCTAAGGATTTAATCCAATTAGACGCCTGCAGGGAAGGATGGAGGGAGAGAGTGTAGGTGGAGTAGTGCGATTGTGAATGAATTGGCTGAAAGGACAGTCTGATTCAAGGATGTAAATCTGTTTATCTGTTTTCATTCAAAGAAATCATTAATAGTACTTATCCCCCTTTTTTCAAGGTTATTGTAATTCACACTGAGTTCTCTTTGTGTTCATATAGATGCATTTTCTCTGTGGTTTATTGTTCTGAGCATTATTAATTGACAGAAGTCTTCAACTAGCAGAGTGTCTTGCCATAAGCTAATGTTTTGTGTGTATCATAGACTGTGTAAGAAAATGTGTATTAAAAAAACTTCAGTTGATCCAGTGAAACATCGGGCACAGCTCCTCTGTTTCAAATCTTTTCTTCTTTTTCTTTTATAAATTGCAGCTCTGTTTAGAATAGAGTAGATGATACAGCAATTTATACTTCCTGTATCATTGTGTGAACACCATGGGTGTTGTCAGTGTGACATATTGTCAGCTTCTTTAAAAAAGAAAGCATTAAGTAGTAACACAAAGCCAATAACAAAGTTGGTGAAAATGAGCTGTAAGAGCACTTCACAGCGGTTTACACGTGGAAACAGTTACAGGAAGGCTACAGTGCTACAAGCCTGTCTGCTCAGCACTGCTTCGATTAATTGCTGGAAATCAAGCTTTGGCTGGTTGGATGGAGATTATTTGCTACTAGCTTTTATGTTAGCCTTAGCCCTTAGTGTCACGATTCCATCTTTTGCACAGTAAAAATAAAACTTCACACGTTCATATATCCACTCGCCTGCTGCATCATTTTCACTTTGATTTCCAGGGTGTTTTTGAATTCAGCCCTCTGCAGGCTGATTATTTATCCTTTTATTCCTAACATGTTACCCAGCACATATCAGTATAAATATCCAGCATGATTTATTTTTGGCAGTGTTGTTTTTTGAGGGGGTTTTGAGCAGTGTGTATAATAATTATGATTTTGTACATTTGCATGGTTTTTGACTGCTGTCTGCTGACTAATGTCCTTCCACTACTCTACACAGGGATGACATACCTGAATGAAGATGCTCATGCCTGCTGAGGCGTTGACCTTTCTAATCTCGTTATCTGTGCTGTTCTGCCAGCATCTAAAGGGGACAGAGAGCTAATCTCTATGGGAACATTTGCTAATGCCGTTGCATAACATTTCATCTTCACAAAATCCAAGAGATCAACTTTACTTAGATAGCACATGGATGTCAGTTGCACAGGTGTATTATGTTAGACATGAAATCCGCATTCTGATCATATAAACTCTAAAAACAACTTATTTGTGCATATCTGTTTTATGGCCCCTTTTTTGATGTTTGAATTGATGTTAGCTGTATGAAAGGACTGGGGCAGACTCAGATTAAAGCAGGATTAGAGGTCATGGCATCATCTTAAGCTTTCGTTTCTTGGACATGAAAAGAGGCTGAAGATAAGCAAAGGTGAGGGGTGTGGCCAGAGATGCCCACACTGACTGAACACTTTACTAATCGTTGTGACGCTCCCCCTACCACGCTGCCTTGCATGTGATTTGCCATGAGTGTGTAGTCATCTGATTTAGAGGACTGAGAAGAGAGCGAGGCCATGACAACGCTGCTCTGAAGACATTTTTTAGGGTTCTGTACAGAAAAAATAACCCCCTTTTTAAATATCATTTGCAAGGGGCTCTGCAGCCATGGTTTGATGCAGAAACTTGGTAAGAAGATTTCTCATTGTAGTTATTTGTGTGTGTTACTGTTTTATTGCAACCATTTCACTACTAGGCTTCTAAAACAGTATAAAACATGTATACTTTGCAGATTTAATTAATGTTTTACTTGAGCGATTTGGTTTCAGTGAAATAAGTGTCAAAACTTAATAGTGGTTCTTTTGGGGAAATTTATAGAGAATATCAGGAATCAAGTAAAAAACAACACCTTTGTCCCTCTAGTTTACTTCTATATGCTCCTCTGTACTGTAACTTACATAAGATGGACTGTTAATGACTCCACCACTATCTTCAGCCTGCTGCAGAAATGCCTGGAGGCCAGTACCAGGTGGCGAGCGCCAGGCTCCACCACAGCCTCTACAGCCTGACGGACAGCTCTGATGCTGGGCCTGAGGATGAGGAGACAGACAACCTCACTCCCCTGGAGAAGCTCACCAGAGATATGTGCAAGGACGAGCAGACCATCAAGGAGCTGATCATAGGGCGCAGAATTGGATTCTATATGGTCCGCGGGGAGATCGGCTACGGGACATTCTCCAGGGTCAAACTGGCTTTCCACGCTCTGACGAGAGGTAGATGGATATTCTGAATCTTCAAGATAATCTTCACTTATATTTTACCTTTGCTTCCTTTTCCTCTGTCTCAGACTCAACCCTCTCAAAGCAGAGCTTGAATAGAGTGTGGATATGCAAGGTTTAAACTGGTTGCAGCCCTTTGTTGACAACACTTGAAAACCTTTTTTAAAGACTACACACGTCTGATGTTTGACGGGCCTGAAACTGAGAACCAAACACAGCTCATGCAATAATGATCAATTTTATGCAACACAGTTTCCAAATTTAAAACTCATCTATAAAGCTTCCAATGCACCAGATGCTGATTAGTTGCTCAGTTAAAAGGAGAAATTACTGAAATACAGCAGCAGAACAGCTGCAACCTGATTCCAAACCTGATGTGTTGAGTCGTTTCAGGACAGGTGGCAGAAATCTGACCTGAAAAGATCCAATTATTCACATAGCTTGAGATAGCTTCTCTTTGAATGTGTTGCAAAACAGTCCACCACAAACACATTCAACATACAGCAAAGTTAAGCTGAGGAGATTTTCACATTTGCAAAGCACAAACAGATTGTATCATTATAAATACCTTCAACATTTAAGCACAAATCCAATGACTTAAAACTGCTAATGGTGGTTGAACCACTAGAACCACAAGAACTGCTAGAGAAAACAGGTTACTGCAAAATTGTTGCCTTTCAAATGGCCAGGTCTGTGACCACTCGCAGTTAGTTGCCATCTTCAAAGCAACTTGCAATGGGAAGCAATAAGAAGGAAGGGCAATGGGAATGAAACAATCAGTCCCCTGTCGATTGGGAATTGAATGGGGTCAAACTGACAATTACATGTAATTTTGTTTGTGATAATACAACATTTAACTGTGAAAATCTGTTGCCGTCTTCATCCACAGAAATTCATATGAATTATTTTGATTCTAGCCAGAATCTCGTAGATTTGAAACAGAAATTTAGATATTTAAACTGCTAAATGGCATAAGTGCTTGGAAAGACCTGCTTTTACATAGGAATATAACCAGAATACAACCAGCTGACAAACAGTTGAGAAAAGTCTGCTATTGCAAAGAGACATGTCGCAGCTGAGTTGCACTTATTGCCTAAGACCGACTCATATTGGTTGAAACATGTTAGCACTTTTTTATAAATTAGATGGCAGTTATTTGCAAACAGTTGCCAATCTGTCTGAGACTGATTGCCATTTGTGTTGGTCTGCAAATGTTCAAAGACAGGTTGCCTTCCACTATGCACCTGGTTAAACTTTTTCTATTTCAAGGAGTCAGGTCTGAAAAGCAGCTGATATCTGGTGGTTCATCTGGATAAATTAATTAAGAGGACCAATCAACTGCAGCTGATTATATATTATATAATATAAACATGCTGTTCTGGTGATGCCAGTCCTTTTTCATCTTATCCTGCTTTAAGCTAAACAATTTCAAACATTGGGATTTCAGGTTTACCTTCAGCAAGCTAACCCTTTATTAACTTTTTGATCATTACTTAATAATTAACACCATCTTTTTATATGTTATAAATTTAATAAAAGAATTCTGCTCGCAGTCACTTCTTTAGTTAAAGACATTTTTTTTCCGATTCATTTAACTACTCTCTCCATGTATCTCCATGCATTGCAAAAGCACTCCGGTTTCTGTGTAAGCTTTCAGTTTCTGTTCGACTTTCAGCCTCTGATGTCATGGACACCTTCTCTGGAGTTATGTTACCATGACACGATCATTCTGTCCAATCTTTCACAGACAAAGTGGCTCTGAAGATCCTGGATAGGACGAGGCTGGATGCTGAAGCCCAGCGTCTTCTCTCCAGGGAGATCAGCAGCATGGAGGCCCTGCACCACTCAAATGTGATCCGTTTGTACGAGGTCGTGGAAACGCCGAGACGCCTCCACCTGGTGCTGGAGTATGCAGGAGGAGGAGACCTCCACAGCAGGATATGCAGCGAGGGAAAATTGTCAGACAATGCCAGCAAGATCACCTTCGCCCAGATCCTCTCTGCCATCAAACATATGGTCAGTGATGTTGAAAGCTTTCAGAGCAAGATGCTGCTTGTGTTTCCCATCATGCAGTTTAGTTATGTGCTCAGTGAAGTCACACCTTCTCACATGTGAGACACACACAAGATGTCATCTGCTTCAGATGTGTCATGGCTGCTGGCAGTCCTCTGTTTGGTTTGAAGGTGAGGGAGCTGCCTGGGTAGAGCGTGCAGGAGGCAGGACACATGACAGACGCTGGCTCACTGTGAATAAGCCAGATTATAACCTGCCCTGTTCACACAGGAACGCAAACTGGATTTTTACTGAGAAGCTGGCAGGTCAAACATCAGCTAACAGTTAATCCCACCATGTCTGACACAGAGCTGTTATAATTTTACCCATTTTAAAAAATTATTTGAAATTTTATCTTTTCTTTTATTTGGTAAATTTCTAGTGTGAGTTTGCTTGTTTTGGTTCATTTTCATC